CTGCGCAGCGAGTCGGAAGAGACCTGGGCTCCCCGGGCTCTCAATGCTCTGGGCCCTGGGCAACCATTGGATCGCCAGACCTTTGCTCTCAGACGCCTCACAGGTTTGGCTGGGAGCTGAGCACTGGGCCAGGCAGCGTCTTCTTCGTGAAGGAGAAAGATCAAGTCCTTTCCTCGTGGAGTTTATATTCCAGAAAAGGGAGAGAGACCAAGCAAAAGAAGACAAAGGAAAAAGAATGCCCCTACCGATGACCTCGGATGCATTATAGGGAGAATGACACCAGAATCATCAACACAAGGAATTCACACTTGAGCTGAAACCCGAATGGGCGTCCCACGAAGGAAAAGCTGCAGTCGGAAGCTGCTGAAACTGCGGGGGTCGAGGAAGTGAAAGGCAGGAGATTGGAGGGTAATGAGATGGATGAGAGTGGCGAGTGGAGCGGGAAGAAGAGCAGCCATAGATGGATCCTATCCTGTCTAGTGAGCTGTGATGTGGAAGTCAGGTGGTTTTTGTGTGTGTGTTGGTAAAAAATGGTACACTCGTGATGAGCTTTAAGCAGCGGCAGGACATAATCCAAGTCACATCTTTCCACGGTCAATTTGGCATCTTTGAGAAGAAGGGGCTTTAGAAGAAGTTCTAAAGCAAGATCTAAGTGTGGTGCCCTAGGGTGAACGCAGTGGGCATGACGAGACATGGATGAGCGAGGTTCTACTTTGAGGAAGAGGCAATAGATCCTGCAGTTGCCCAGGGAAAGCAGCCCTAGCCAAATAGAGGTTAAACACTCAGCTCCTGACCAAAAGATTGGAGGTTCAAACCCAGCCACAGGAACAAGATGAGGCAGTCTGCTTCTGAAAAGATGATGGACAGCTCTACTCTGTAACACATGGCGTCACCATGGCTCAGAAATGACTTGATGGCAACAGGTTTGGTCTTTGGTAGTCTGCAAACCATCTGTCTTCTCTCTCTGTCCTTCAAGGCAATACCGTTCACCGAGATGAGTGAACGGTTAGCCTCCCAAGTTAGGAGTCATCCTGGAGCCTTTCGGTTTTCACTCACTCTCCAGACAACAATCCTACTGCCATTGAGTCAATTCTGACTCACAGTGACCCTGCAGGGCAGAGTAGAACCGGCCCATATGGTTTTCTAAGCCATACTCTCTTCTGATCACCAGACCTTTCTTCCAGGCAGCCAGGGGGTCAGTTCAAACCTCCAGTCTTTAGATTCATAGTTGAGCACAAGCCATTTGTAACACCCAGAGACCATGTTCGTGAGGTGTTCTTATAATTAGAGGACAACTAAGAAGGGGCTACTGGAGACATATAGAATAAAAGCCCATCAGTATAACAAGCTCTGAATGAGAACCGAACACTGGTCATGTATGAAGACTTCCATGCGCCTTATTTTAAGTGGCTAGTCATGAACTTGGTAGTTAATAAATGATTACAGCTTGATCAATAAAATAAAAATGGTTGAAGTTTATGGCCTCTGGTTGGCCCAAACCATTTCATCTTAGCTGGTTATACAAAGGTTGCTATTTGTGATGCTATGTGCCATAAACTAGCACAGGTGATTTGCTTTCATGAAGAGTACAGCCAAGGTGACCCTTTGGAGGGATGATTGATAGTGTTTTGTTTTTGTTGTTGTTTGTTTGTTTTGTTTTGTTTGTCATAATATTACCACTAAAGTAAACCAGAGTAATGCATAATCTGTGGACAAGCAGACAAATTCTGGGCTCCCAATTAACTCTAGCCCCAATCCTAGCCCCAATTCTTATAACATGGTCCTGCTCGATATTCACCTTCATGAAGAGATCACTGAAGATAAGGGTGCTACAGCAAAGCGTGGTGAAAAAAGCAGATGGTACTGAGCTATCAATTGGAAGAGTATCTGGGATGTTAAAGGCTTGTATTCAAACAAGCAGCTATCTAAGCGAGGCATCAACTAAGTCCACATTGAAGAAGCACACCAGCCTGTGTGACCCAAAGATGATGATAACAAAATCCAAATAAGATGAAGGGAAAAGTGTCAGAGCTTACAATGTGGACGCCCAATTTGTAGAAGGCTGGAGAGGGGAGTGGGAACCCAAAACGCATCTGCAGAGCATCTAGTCCAATTAAGCTTTTGGCAGATCGTCTTTAGCCACAGGTGAGGGACTCTCAAAGCTTTTGTTACTGCCGGCTTTCCCTTGGCCCCAGGAACAGGGAGGCAGAGTCACCGAGGAGGCTGCAAACCACCAAGGAGTTCATTGACTAGCTCGAGCTAGGGGCCAAGTGCTAAGGCACCAACGCAGTGGCCACCAAAGACAAGGACCCCGGCCTGGGGCACAAGCCGAGTTTTTATACTCTCTACAGGTTAGGTAAACTGGGTGAAACGATCCCCCTCCCCCTCCCATAGCTCAATGACTTCATCTGGAGACAATTGGTTGTGCAGGTCTTGTTGGTTGGCTGGCTCCACTCTCGGACGATCCAATTGTGGTCACTCACGACTTTCCAGGTGCGGTCAGCGTCACTGTGATCACTCGGACCTTTCCAGGTGTGGTCAGCGTCATTTTGGGGGAGAGGGTGACTTTGTTAGAGAAACGAAACTCAAGGTTGTTAGAGAAATGAAACTTAGGCCTGCCTTAAGAGGCTTGGCCTATCATGGAGTCACCGCTGCCTTATACTTTGCTATCAGACAGAGATTATTGTAAACTTGATTATGGTAGGTGGAACTATAATATACTATGATACTCGGTCAGCTGACCTCCTTCTTGAGCCAACCTGAATTTGTTTTAGACGTAAATATTTCTTGCTTTTTCCAAGACATAAATTTCTTCTCTGGCTTTTAAAATATGGCTGGTGGTCTTACTTTTTATGTTTATCTTGACATTATTATTATTTTATTCTCTCTGTTTCACTTCATTTTTTATTATCTCTGTTCAGTTTCCCAGTCTATGAAGCACATAAGGGTGGCTGCATAGAGACAATACCTGCTGCAGTGGTTTACCAGGGTCGGGGCAGAGAGGTTGGTGGGGGCTGGGGAGCAAACAATGGAGGCAGGAGGGGGACAGAAGCAAGAGAACTGCTTGTGATGCTGTAGATGCAGCTCCTTTTAAAGCAGTTCAACTATGGAAGTGTATGATAGGAGAATTTTATATTAATAAAACTATTTTTTTTTAAAGAAAAAGACCCTGTTCACAGGGGCCTTCTAAGTCACAAACCAACGACAATAAAGTCTACACAGCTTACATTTGAAGTAGAAGACAAATGTATTATTAATGTTACTAGAGGTTCATTTCGGATATGAAACCAATTGGCAGAGCAGAAAAAGTAAATTACTTTTACTGTAAAGCTCAGTATAGGTGAACTTCCAGGTTTCAACAAGTTTGTGGGAAAATTCCATCCTCTTTTCTTTCGACTTCCCCATCAATATTGTGAGGCTCCCTTTCTGTAACTGAATGCTTTTGTTTTATAAGGATGAGGATTCAAATTCTTCCGTTTGTTATCTTCTTAGGTGCGAAGGCTTAAATTGGTATGTGTGTAGGGTAACATCATACTACCATTTTTTTAAAGCTGTCTTTAAAAAATTCAATGGCGGTGAATTTTGATGGACCATATTATTACATTTTAATTTTTATCAGCAGTACAGAAAGCTAGGCATTTTGTCACATGAGAACATGACCGCAACCACATGAGATGACCTGAGCAGATGGGCAGCTGGACAGGAGTGGGCGCCAGTTCGGCAGCAGATGTCAACTCGAGAGAAGTCAACAGATGCGGACTTTTAGTGAGGTCTGTCTCTAAGAACACAAAGGAGCACAAAGAAGAACTCCACTGAGGACCCAGTTGGAGGTTCTTGGTGGACCTTGTGACAATGCAGTTGGCATGATGTGATCAGAGAGAGTATTTATTCAGACACTAAAAATCCTGCATAGGACCAGTTCATTTGGAAAGAATCATAGAATAAAAAGAATCTGGGATCCCAAGCTTCTAATTAGAATTTATGCCACAAAATTAAGCGAGAACATCGTTCCCCTAATTTGTTCATTATTTAAAAAACAAAAAATTTTTGTGTCAATCCTTAATAAAACAAAACAAAACCCAAAAAAGTTGACCAGGCCTTTTTTTGTTTTGTTTTTGCAACAGGAAGCTCAACCCTGCTAGCTAATAGCTCTACTAAATTCATGAACCACATACCCACGCTTTCTTACATCCCTACATCAGAGGGATTCTTAAATACACCTTTTAAATAGTTTAAAGGTATTCTTAAAATGTCAACTCAAGTCATACAAAGGCTTACATTTATTTCACCCATTGCAAACTTCACAAATCATTATGGTGTTCTCCAAACCACTTATTGTTAGAGGAGAGAACAAACACACAATACACTTTAACACATGTCTCCTCAGCTTGGTGCTAGCCAGAAATCACTGAGTTTGAAAGTTCGCAAGACAATACGGTGAAGACAAAATGGTCTAAAATAACATCATTAAAAAAAAATTTTTAAACAAAACAAAACTCCAGTGTTATATTATAATTGATTCATTTTATATAGGTTTCAAATAGTTCAAAAGGCGGTAGGGATGCGTCCTATTTAAAATTCTTATTCCAGGATGTACATTCTTTTCAGTTTGTACCTTACTGTATTCGTGTTGCCGGAGCCCTGTTCGCTCAGTCTGTATCTGCTGTCTTCTGACGGCATGTACTCCACTAGGATTTTAGAGTCTGGGCCAGGCCTTGTTTTAGAGTTCTTCAAAATTAACTAGGGCATCTGGACAATTTCCGATCAATTGCCACAGCCACCCTTTCTTCCCAAAGCACTCTTCCTCAATCCAGTTCATCTCTTTCAGGTGACCGCTCTCCAAGGGGAAGCTGCCCTGGGCCAGCCAGATCTCCCTCACTTCTTCCTGTGATCCTAAGTTTTTAAGGAAGTTGAAAGGTTGGGAATTTACGACGAAAACGTGGTCCTGTCTCATGTACTTACTTAAGCATGCTTGCTTTCTTTTGCTTCTTTTTGAACAGACACACGGCAGTTTTTAATATATAATGAAGACCACAAGCGTTGTGTGGAAGTAGTCGATGCTGGTGCCGTCCAAACTGCAGTTTGCAACCCAGACAGTGAATCCCAGAAATTCCGATGGGTGTCTGATTACCACCTTATGAGTGTTGCATTAAAATTATGCCTGGGCGTGCCATCCAAAACGGATTGGGTTAAAGTCCTGCTCTACGCCTGTGAAAACAGCAAAGAGGATCAGAAATGGGAGTGCAAAAACGACACACTTTTTGGGCTCCGGGGAGAAGAATTATATTTTAACTATGGCAACAGGCAAGAAAAGAATATCATGCTTTACAAAGGATCCGGTTTGTGGAGCAGATGGAAGATCTATGGCACCACAGATGATTTATGCTCTAGAGGTTACGAAGGTAAGCAGCTCAAAGGGTTATCTTTGTGGTAGATTTTTTTCTCCTTTTCTTTGTGGGTGCCAAATTCAAGAGAGCATGTTCTTGTGGAGACTGTGCTCAGCAACTCAAAATTCATTGCCATCAAGTTGATCATGACTCATTGTCAGCCCGCCAGGACATGGTAGAACTACCCCTGGGGGTTTCTGAGGGTGTAAATCTGTACGGGAGCAGAAAGCCTCATCTTTCTCTCACAGAGCAGCTAGGGGATTCAAACTGCTGACCTAGGGGCTTGCAGCCCAACTTGTTACACCCCACCCCACCAGAGAGATTGTGCTAGAAAGAGTGATCACGCTTTTCGCATCATAAACGATGAGAGCATGTTCGTGAATAAATGCGACAAAAAGGCCTGAATGCTACCTTAGCAATTTATAAGCAATGGCAAGCTATCTCTTTGCACTTTTCCAAGATTAATTCATTAACAAAGTTTATACTATGGATTGCAATGTTTAGAAAGTAGTTTTCACTCTAGCTGTTGATCCAACGCCTGCCCTTTGACATGATCAGGTTGTAAGGAATACGTGAAATTAGTTAAGCATTTCTTTCCCTTTGGTGTAAGTTACTCCTGGAGAAATGGTAACAGTATTCCCTACAAATTCAGATGGTCTGAAATGACGTCTTGGCAAATTCCTTAACAGTTTGGGGCGTAACAGTTTGCAGGTGCTTGAAAACACTAATAAGCAGAAGACTAAAATGGCTGGGATTTTAGTTTATAAATAAAAATGTGGCATGTTTTGTTAATTATTTTAGAAAACTGTAGTACCACTGTCCTCTCCAACCCCCTCAAATAAGTTACACAATATGATGAATATGATTAGAGTCGCTGGATGATACGTGTAAAGAGATGTTGAACTAGCACTTTGTTATCGATATATATATACCACAAGGAAAAAAAATCATCTTCTATACAATTGATTCCTAGGATTCTTGAAGTTCAAATAAAACCAGAATGTCTTAGTTAGCTAGTGCTACTATAACAGATATATCACAAGTGGGTGGCTTTCACAAACAGACATTTATTTTCTCACACTTTAGGAGGCTGGAAGTCCCAAGACAGAGATCCTGCTCTAGGGAAAGTCCTTGTCTGTCAGCTCTGGAGGAAGGACCTTGTCTCTTCAGCTCCTACTTTCTGGTTCCTTGGCCATCCTTATTTATTTATTTTTGTTATCTATTTTATCCCATCTCTGCTTCTCTTGATTGCTTATTTAATCTCTTTTAAGATCACAAAAGAGGTTGATTTGGGATACACCCACATTAATCCTGCTTCATTATCTTCACAAAGACACCCCCATGTACAGATGGGGCTTTCACAGCAGGCATAGAGGTTAAGATTTACAGCTCTTTATTTTGGGAGGACAGAATTCAGTCCCTAACATTTCACCCCTTGGCCCAACAAAACTCACGTCATCATGATATACAAAACAAGCACACCATCACCTCATCTCCAAAGTCCTAAGTAGATTTCCAGTCCCAAATCTGATCTTCTGAAGATCTAAATCAAAGATGTGTGACAAAAAGAATTTTATGGTTGGGGGGCTCACTACAACATGAGGAACTGTATTGAAGGGTCACGGCATTAGGAAGGTTGAGAACCATTAGAAGCTAATGTCAAATCCCATGTCCAGTATTTTCTTTTAAAGCATTACCAGGAACACGTATACGATCCACCTTTCTGGCAACATCCTGTTGCTGGTATCTTCTGTATTCTCTGAGACAATTTTTTTTTAATCGTTTTATTAGGGGCTCATACAACTCTTATCACAATCCATACATACATCAATTGTGTCAAGCACATTTGTACATTCATTGCCCTCATCATTCTCAAAACTTTTCCTCCCCCGGCATTAGGTCCTCATTTTTCCCCTCCCTCCCCACTCCCACCTCCCTCATGAGCCCTTGATAATTTATAAATTATTATTTTGTCATATCTTGCCTTGTCCGACATCTCCCTTCACCCACTTTTCTGTTGTCCATCCCCCAGGGAGGTGGTCACATAGAGTTCCTTATAATAGATTCCCTCCTTCCAACCCATTCTCTCTCTACCCTCCCAGTATCGCCACTCACACCACTGGTCCTGAAGGGCTCATCCGCCCTGGATTCCCTGTGTTTCCAGTTCCTATCTGTACCAGTGTACATTTTTTTCTACAGCTTTCCGCACTTCCTTTCGAACCCTTACCAGAAATTCCCTTTATGTACATAATGCTCCCTATAGGCTCTTCAAGGAAATGTAGGCTTTTACTGTGAAGCATCTTAAAAAAAATTTCCAACTTCTACCCATGAGCTAATTCCATTTTTTAATTCCAAAATCACTTCCACGTGTTAGGCATGTGTTAGAGCAGAACCTCACTCTTCCAGAGCCCAGATAAATCTTACTTACCTAACGACTCTAGGGGAGAAATCGCACACATGGCGGCCTTCACAAACACACACTTGTCTTCTCAGTTGAGGGAGCTGTTGGTCTGATGTCAGCGTCCCGCTCAAAGAGAAGGCTTTCTCTCCGTGTTGAATCTGAAGGAAGGGCTGTGGCTCTTCAGGTCCTGCTTCTTGGTTCCTTGGCCATCTCCATGTGTCTTGTCACCTGTCACATTCCATCTCTGCTTCTCTCACTTGCTTGTTTAACCTCAAAAGACTCAAGACACACCCTAGACTAATTTTGCCTTACTAAAATAATCCAGACTGCCCCCCCACCCATGGGATTATGACCCCCGGCATAGAGGTTAGGATCTGTGACCCATATTTTGGGGGGCATAACTGAATCCATAATACAGAATAGTTTCTCTTCTTTTTTCTTAGTCAAATATCCTTTTCTATCAGCTAGATGGAAATAAAAGAACTTGAAGCTCTGTAGAAAGGCTTACGAGTCACGACTTTACAGTCATACCGCAGGATGAGATAGAAGATGCTTGTGAGCCGTTACCTAGCACCGCAGGATGAGATAGAAGATGCTTGTGAGCCGTTATCTAGCGGGTCCTTAAAGTCACAGGAACTAACTGCCTTTTGGAACAAGAGCTTGTGTGTTTCTGCCATTTCTATATTACTGGTTCTGCTCAGGTTAGGTCACCCATTTATTGCAGCCAAGACAGACAGTGCTTAAGACTTCAGTTTTTTGTAAGGAAATACTTGGTCTGCTTTCCATTTTTCCGTCCATCTAAGGAGGAGGGAAGAGTCAGGATTTACGGAACATAGAGTAAGTTTAGAAATCATATGAATGGCAACTCAAATAACTCATTCTTCAAGGAGTAAAATTGATAGAAAATTATAGGGCAGGTAAGGGTGAGGCACTCTTGATTGAGTTAAATTACCCAAGTGAGACGGTAGTCCTAGCTGAAGAATTCGATATGCTGAAGATGATGCTAAGACAGGGGACATCATATTTTGTTTTAAAATATGGTATTTTTTCTGTTTGTTTTGAGAAGAAATGTGTAGGATAGTGGTTTCCTAGCTTTAGCATTCATAAAAATCACCTAGAAAACTTGATAAAAATCAAAATCCCAAGCTCCCTTGCCCACGCATATTCTGAATTAGTGTATCCAGGGGGGCGCTCAGAAGTCCTTGTGGCAGAGTATGTTATGTGTTGGGCTGATAACTGCAAGGTGAGCAGTTTGAAGCCACCAGGTGCTCTGCTTATGAAAGATGAGGCTTTCTGCTCCCATGTAGATTTACAGTCTGAGAAACACACAAGGTTGGTGCCATGCTGTCCTATAGGGTCACTGTGACTCAGAATCAACCTGATGGCAGTGAGTTTGGGCTTTTTTTTTCTTCATTTTTTGGGGGTGGGGAGTGGGAGGGAGAGGAGAGGGCTCAGAAATCGATTAAACTCTTCTTATAAAGACCTGGGTGATTCTGAGGCAGATTGTATATTGACTAAACTTTAGGTACTCTTCAAGTCTCTGCCAATATGTAAGGTAATCTCGTAGAGATCCTCTAAACGGTTTGGAGTCCGAGACCTGGGACAGATAGCAGAACTAAAGCAAGTTAGAGAACGCAGACAAGAGTCACGGCTCTTTAACGAAAGCTGGAGGAACAAGACCGGCTGAAGCCAGAGATTATTTCAGAGTTATAGAACTGGACTTTTATAACCAGAAGGTTCCTAAATGTCAGCACCATAGTGAAGTGGATCTTAAAAAAAAAATTAACTCACATTAACTCAGAGTTGTTTGGTTTTCAAAGGGTATCTGAACTTCTCCAGCCCTCTTGGCTAAAGTCAAACCATAATCAATAATCTTAGATTTGTTTCAATTCTCCTGTCTCGTTGAACCCAGACTTTCTCATTTTTGCTGTCTGGATGTAGTTTTTTAAAAGATAGATACGGGGAAACACATGGCATGAAATGGCTTCGAGTGGCTCTTATTTATGAGATTAGATGGCCAACCCTTTACCCTTCCTGGTGATCCTGGATGAGGGTGTCCATGATCAACGACTTGGCTGAAAAGTCATTGAAAATAATTTAATTCTTCAAAGTGGATTGTGCTACACAGCTTCAAGGTTCACTTCAGTTTAGAGATCCAATCGTTTGAATCCAACCAATGAGAAGGGTGGCCAATTCTCTGTTTTGGAGAAAATACAGAAATCAAAACTGGTTTCAAGATAGCTGACTACTATTCCTTGGTGGTGTCGTGGTTACGCACCGGGGTACAATCTTCGTGGTCAGCAGTTCAAAACCACCAGCAGCCCCCTGGGAGAAAGGCTGGACTCTCTACTCCCATAAACAGCGACAGTCTCAGCAACCCCCCTGGGGCTTGTTCTAAGTCAGCATTGACTTGATGGCAGTGAGAGTGAGACTCTTTCCTCTTAAGAGGAAAGAGGAAAATCCGTTCCACAGGACAGTAGAAATGCAGGGCGAGAGTTGTTCCCAAGTCCAGGGTGCTGTATGTACCCTGCAAAAGACTGGCCAAGGGAAAAAAGGAAAAGTGTGGGGAAGAAGAGGAGGTGACTCTTGGGTGTGAGGCCACTGAGTGTGATCAGAAGTGAAACACATTTCAGCAGCCTTCTAATGGAAAAGCCAACGTTCAGGAGCATGTCCACATTCTAAATGGAAGCCACTCTTGTTTCTTTAGCCATGTTTACTCTGCTGGGCAACGCCAATGGAGCGACGTGTGCCTTTCCCTTCAAGTTCGAGAACAAGTGGTACGCGGATTGCACAAGTGCTGGGCGGTCGGACGGATGGCTCTGGTGTGGAACCACTACAGACTACGACACAGACAAACTCTTCGGATTTTGCCCCATGAAGTGTAAGTCACTATGTATGACCAAGAAAAGCGGGGTGCACTGAGCCTGGCGATGCCGCTGGAGTTCCTCTCCTGCAATCCTCTAGGAGAGGATATTCAGAGAGACTCCTCTGTCGGCTTTGTAGGTGTCCTCCAACACCCCTAAGAGAACCACAGCCCATCATTTTCTGCCTCAAAATAGCTCTTACTTTTCACCAAATTCTGTTTTTATCCAACTCTCACTTTAATGGTCAGTTATTTCTAAGATTTTAGGGCAAACAGTCCTGTAAAAAGTGCTTCATATTCGTATTCCCATGCTGTTTTCCATGCCCCAAGTGATTGACTAAACTATAGCTCAACCACAGAGTATGAATGATGCCACAAACGTGGGCTTTCATGGAGGCAGACATACATAAAAGGTCTCCAAGATAAGAAGGGTCTAGATTTTGTGTCAATGTAGTCAGTCATGAATCATGGAATGGAATGGATCATGAAAATGAGATTAGTAATACTCGTTTTTAAAATTTTATTAAATCATTTTATTGGGGGTTCTTACAGCTCTTATAACAATCCATACATCAATTGTATCAAGCAGATTTGTACTTATGTTGCCATCATCATTTCCAAAACATTTTCTTTCTACTTGAGTGCTTGGTTATCAGTGCTTTTTAATCCTCCCTTTCCTACCCTCCAACTCTTGTGAATCCTTGATAATTTATAAATTATTTTTATTTTCATATTTTGCACCATTTGCTGTCTCCCTTCACCCACGTTTCTGTTGTTAGTGCCCTTGGGTTCGGGGTGGTGGTATTGTACGTTGATCATTGCAATCGGTTCCTCCTTTCTCCCTCTTCTCCCCCCACTTCCCCCCACCCTCATGTAAGTGATACTCTTCTCAAATTTCATGTACACAGCTTTGAATTCATGAAAATCATTTATAGGCTAGAAGGTTTTAAAATAAAAATCAAAGTGTTACTGCAATCAGGCAATATTGAAGTATAGTGGTGGGAAGAGGCCAGCCTAGATAAATTCTTGGGATCCTTTCTCCATTTATGAATCTATAAAGCAGACTTGGGGTGTGGTGGAGGTGGGCATCACAGCTAGATGGCAGCTGGAGCTCAGGAAGCAGAGAAAGGAAGAGTTCGGGACTTATGCTCCCCATCCATCCACATCTCCCTCCAGCTGCTGTGAGCTCCCCTTTGCCTCTTCTTCCCTCTAAACTTCTACCCCCTGCCTCTCACCTGCCTCTGCAGACTCGGTAGACCAGAGCCGCTTATGCTTTGTGGCTTTACCCAGTACTCGTACCTGCTGCCCTTCAAATGGGCAGGGTAGAGCCAGGTCATCAGATGGAGCCTGCCTATTCATCTTGGAAATGTATTTGCTTTACTAATACATTTAGAAATGTATTGGTTTGAAGGGTTATAAAATGTCTGAACTCTATTGGAAGTCTTTTTGTCTGAAACAAAAAAAGAAAAGAGAATAGCCCTCCCCAACAAGATAAAGTAATGTTATTTTTCCCTAATATTTAACGAATCGTTTCTCCAACATGTCTTTTGTAGGAATAGAACTTCCAAAATATTACGGCGTTCCGTAAGGATGGGGATGTCATGCGCACATTTTTACTGTGCTGCATTTAGATGTGTTGACAAAACCAGGGCTAGATGAATGAATGATTTAATGAATGAAATGTGGGAAACAAATGTTAAGTCATTCATCACATATAAAACTCACCTTCCATGATGTGTGTTGCCGCCTCTCGAATAATATGTTCAGTCAAATATTTCAGTTTTGTTTTCCAACAAAACTATGTGTGTGTTTGTGTCTCTCTCTATATATGCACACACACAGGCACACAGGCAACTTTACACTTCACACAGCCCTAAGCCGAGCCCCAGGCTGCACCTGATGACATATATATAGACACACACATATCGATATCTGCTAAATGTAAAAGTAAAATAACTGTAGAGGGTAAAAAATTAGCTTAATTTTAATGTGCCTTGTATTTTTAGACATATTTTTTAATTTCAAAGAATTTTGTAATTTTCCAACCTATTTCATTTTCCTTGCTTGCATTCCTTTCAAAAGAACATTTTCTTGTTTCCTATCCTTAAATTAGCAGGTTCAATACAGGAAAGTGAGGTGCTAGCTTTTGACCTGGAGACACCTAATGTATGTTCTTCATGGTCTTTTGTGCTGTTTGTTGCAATGTCCCTCCTTGTATTTCGCATTTGTTTCCAAGAACCACGAGAACAGGAAAAGGAAAAGACCGTTTTCTTAATTCTCCATAGCTCGCAGCTGTAGCTTCCAGTATCCGCTGGGCTGGCCGACCATGGAGATTTAAGCTCTCTGGAGAAATATTGAGTAGTCTGCCTGCCTATAGGTTCATTGAGACCTTTTTTCCTTACTTGACTTACAGTGCAAAACACTCCTTCTTTAATGAATGGTCTCATTCCATTTCCCTCTTTGGTCATTAATATCCCTGTCTTTCTTCTCTGGATAAGAAAGTATCCCCACCCCCCTTAAAAACCCAAACCCATAGTTTCTATCCTATGATAATCTACACTTCAAAAATCCCAAGACATCCTTATCAGGAGGTAAAACGATTTGTTTAAAATGGTGTCATATTTGAATAAACTCTGAACTGGTCTCATTTCAATGATTTCCAGAGCCATGGGAAATTGTCCGTGTGGACAATAAATCAATAAGGCTTAAGATGGCCGTACTTTAGTCTCTCATTGCTAGTTCCTTTTTATATATTTATTTATGCTGCAGTCTTATAGCTAAAATATCATGGACGTGTCTACATTGTTGCCTGAATGAGATTTTGGTATCGTTTCCTCCTCCACGGGCTCTGGGACCTCCAGTTTCATATCACAGGGTGTATGTCGTGTGGATGACATACTTCTCGGATCACTTCCTCAGCAGTTACAAACCACAGCTGGGCACAGAGTGAAGGGTCCAGACTAGGCCACCTTCTTAGCAAGTTACACCCTTCGCTCCTTTCCCTCTTCCTCATCAAGGAAACAAGAGGGTTGCATCTTCATGTGGAGCAAAAACTGTAAGTAGCATCTTTGCCCTTGAAAAGACCAAAAAAGAAACTCCCACACCATTGAAGCACGTCGAAGCATTTTGTTTTATTGTTAAGTTCCTAAATAGTATGGAAAATCCATAGGTGTCTAGTGATAGAATTGGCTTGTTATAGAGCACACCCTGGTTTACGGAGTCTATTGAGAATCAGCGTAATAGGGCAGGAGACAGATAAGCTAGAACAACTAGCAACCAGCATCCATTAGGTGCTGGGGGTCTCATACAGATTGGATATATTCGAGAGAGGAGCAAGCAAGACTCTAAAAGCTGGTCACTTGACCGCGGCCCAGCCGGGTGAGTGGCAGCCTTGGTGTGGGGTCTACTCTTCCCTCCGGGGCCTTGTATTGCTAAAAGGACTACATTGGAATCTGCAGGAAACACATCTGTTTTTTTTTGCTGAGAGAAGAAATGTATTTATTTTCTTTCTCACTTTTATCTTGACTTGACGTTGGGGTGTTGTTCCATTCATACTCAGTGTGCGCATCTGCCTTTCTTTCCAACGCTTCTGATCCTCAAAGGCCCCGTGGAAAAAGAGGGAGGCGATGCCTCCTTTTCCTTCTGTGGGGCATGAACGAGCTTGGATGTGGTGGATCCTTTGCAAGCGCTCTCTTCATTTCGGGAGTAAAGAACAGCTCAAAGACACTTAAAAAAAATTTTTTTTTTAAATCAATTTATTGGGGCTCATACAATTCATCACAATACATAGATCAATTGTGTAAAGCACATCTATACA